GCGTGTAACAGCATGGGTTTCAGTTGACTATAGTCAACTGGAAAGTAGCGGGTTTCAAGCGCATGCCCACACTCAACTGAAACCCACTGTTCTAACAGATTTTCGGGTTTTCCGGGGCAAGTGGATTTTCGCCAAAATCGAATTTTTTAGCCGGGTGAACGTTGATTCCAACTATTTAAGCGCCGGGCTAGTCAGAACTGTCAAAAGTATGTGGAAAAAGTGAAAACTGAGAAACCGTTTTTTTTGGCCCCAGCCAAAGGGTCAGATTTTCGGGTTTTCCGGGGCAAGTGGATTTTCGCCAAAATCGAATTTTTTAGCCGGGTGAACGTTGATTCCAACTATTTAAGCGACGGGCTATTCAGAACTATCAAAAGTATGTGGAAAAAGTGAAAAATGAAAAAAAAAATTTTTCACCGGAGGCCAAAGTGTCGGATCTTGGATTTTTCCGGGGGGAAAGTCGGTCCAAGGGTCACAAGGGTCAAAGTGTCAGATCTTGGATTTTTTGCCAAAATCGAATTTTTTGGCCGGGTGAACGTTGATTCCAACTATTTGAGCGCCGGGCTAGTCAGAACTGTCAAAAGTATGTGGAAAAAGTGAAAACTGAGAAACCGTTTTTTTTGGCCCCAGCCAAAGGGTCAGATTTTCGGGTTTTCCGGGGCAAGTGGATTTTCGCCAAAATCGAATTTTTTAGCCGCGTGAACGGTGATTCCAACTATTTAAGCGACGGGATATTCAGAACTCTCAAAAGTATGTGGAAAAAGTGTAAAATGAACAAGTTTTTTTTTTCAAATTTTCAAAGGGTCAGATTTTTCGTTTTTCTCGGGAGAAAGTCGACTTTCGCCAAAATCGAATTTTTTAGCCGGGTCAACGTTTATTCCAACTATTTAAGCGACGGGCTATTCAGAACTCTCAAAAGTACTATATATATGATTTAGTCACACAACTCGGGGGAATTTGAGCTCAATTAGTTGAGTATTTCTACAGATGGAAAATTTCATGAAAAATGGTCAATTACATTAATTACCGTGTTTTTGTTTAGCCATAGCATTTTTATTCATAATTGCTTGGAATGTCACGTCGTATGAATACTTCAACTAACGTCCAGTGGTCCCGGTCGTTAAATCATTGGTTCGGCTTGTTTCCGTCTTGTACGCATGATAACTTGAGGAAAAACAGGGATAGCAGTGGTTTTGAAGATATTCAATTTTTTGTATCAATCCAATTTTAATGGAATTTTATTTCGATGATTTTCGACATTCAAATAATGAGTTACATATCAATGGAGTTTGAAAAAGATGGAAGGGGGGACTAAAATACCACAATAAACCAATACCTATGAGTGATTACGCAGTGTAAATAAAGCAAAAGAGGTTCATAAAAAGAGAATTCATGTGGTTGCGTATGTATGCCTGTCTTAGAAATAGGGAATTGATACGGATTCATTCGGAAGCCTATTACCAATGAAATTGGTAGAAATGAAAATAGGAGAAAAAAATACGTAGCAGTAATATGTAATCTGTCAAATGGTTTCTGTCGCGCTGCTTGTTTGGCCGTAATATTCATACACTATTAATTAATTATCACATTTAGAACGGAAGTTTATTAATTAATCATTACATTTAGACCGAAGTATTATTCGCAAAGGTATTGTTCACAGCATTCCGGGTAAACTTTGGTGTAATCATATGTTCTGTAAATAAATTTTTTAGAATCTGGGCAGCTGATCATTGGAACAGCACATCTGTGAAAAAATTGACATTTTTAACATCTATGATTGAGATTTTGAGCTCACGTATGAGGACTCACCGAATTTTATCCACTGTGAATTCGGAACACGTGATAGACATACAGTCATCCATGTCCTGTCCTATGTTGAATTTACTGCAATCGCCCTCTGGATAGTTAGAAGTTGAAGTTGAAAGCAACATTTGAACCGTCAGAATGGAGAGAATCGAAATAAAAATGATTAAAAAATTATCGGAGTCTTACCAATCTTGGATATTTGGAGAGACGACTGCAATAAGCACACGAAGACACTCAGTATGATTATGATCTTCATGATGGTGACTTTGATTTCTCGTCTGAGATGTGCAAGGTGTGAACACTCGTTCGATGCAGACAGCGGTCTGGACTATCCCATATATACCCCGTCAATACGAGAAAAATTGAGTTATCGCAATGGCCTCTCTATTCTCAGCAGATAACAGGTTTCTTATTATTAACTTGACGATTTATGTCCGGTAGTTATTTAAAATATTGTGGACTATGGTTCTTATCGAGAGGTCACACTTGTTTTGGTTCGAGCAATGCTGAGACAGCTTGTCGATACATTTGTTGCTTATTAACGAGAAAATGATGAGTTTATTTCATATTGTAAAATAAAATCTGCTTTATAATCAATATGCGATTATTGATTATAAAAGATTAAAAAAGGTTATAAAAGAGTTTAGAGTGAATGATATAATAGAGGAAACACAAAAAGTCATAGGACACGTCCGTGAATAGGACACGAGATAAAATAACGATGAGAGAGCAGAAACTCGTTGATCATAAGAAGAGAATTTTTATCTAGTTTGATTAGAAATTCTCGTGCATGTGGTGGAAAAAATTTTTTGTTGACAAGTTTTTGGAATATGATTTGTCTGGGATCAGCGGACGGCGGGCGTTGCCACAGGACGTGATCGATGTTTTCTTCTTCATAACCGGATTTACATAATGACGATGCGATTATACTAAGTCGTTCCAGTGATTTGCTAAACTATAATGATCGGCTCCGGCCCTATTAACCCATGGAATAATTTCCTGGGTAATTTCTTCCCCTTACACCGGGGCTTCTTCCATTCAGTATCCTAGTATCCTAGTATTTGGAAAATTTCTTTTTCATCTTCGCGGAAATTAAAGATGTTTAGACAGTGTCGGTAAATTGTCGCTAAATGTTTTTTTTTTCATGGTCAAGGAAAATTCTGTAATTTTTTTGGCTGACAGCAGAACATATAAAACTAACTTTTCCAACGTTAAAAAAATTAATCGCAATAGTCTCGGCAGAAATTAATAAATTAATTTTTCCTTATGCACGGGCACTTATGAAATTCATGTTCAAATTGATAATTCAGCTACTAGAAGACTCTAAAAATCGAAATAAAAATGGAAGGTAATGTGTAAAATCATACTGAATCCAATGGCCAGAGAAAAATTTGGGGTACCCGGGCAAAAGGAGGAAATATTTGAATGATTCTATCCCATGTAAGCGCATGTTAGGGCATGCATTTGATGCAGTTTGTTTATTTCATATCTAAATAATGAACATGGGTTGGTGGATTAAAATTTGCATCAAAGTGACAGGAATATCTTCGTCTCTCAGTTTAAAAAAAAATCAATTTTTTTCAAGTACTTGTGATATTGGATAAACACCCTTAACGGACTGAATTAGTATAGTATCATCACTGGCAAAATTGGTGGCTTCAAAAATCAACTGCTTTATTCAAAACTAAATTTTTACAGTCATTCACAAATGATTTCTACACAACATTTGGGGTATTCTTCATCATCATCAAATCTCATCACAACGAAGTTCTTGTGGGGTCCGCAAGTGGGCGCAACCTGAGTGCAACTGCAATGATACATGAAGATTTTGGTGAAGATTACGGTGGAGGTGTTTTTATTCATTACATGAGTGAATGAAGGAAAGATTCGAGAGACTTACGGTGTCACAGAAGCCCGACGTGTTCCATGGCATCGTATATCATAGCAGCCGGTTAAGTACGGTTGCAGAAAATCTGTTGAATTGCGACAATCTCCCCCTGTGAGAAAGATTTTGATTATAAATGTCACCATTGATTTCAGTGATTGTCGTAAAAATCGTCAGTGAAATCGTTAATGTCCTTGATCAACCAAAACTTTCACGCGATTTGAACTGAAAAAATTTGGTCAAGAGCAAATATTCACTGGTGGAGAACTGGATTCACAACTTAATCATTAGAGCAAAAATTGAATCTCTTTCGCTTAGAATCTTACAAATCCTGGGTATTTGCGTTGACTGGTGAATCGCGCACAGTAGAATACAGATTGTCATAATCTTCGTCATGATGACTTACACCAATTTCAAACCTTCGAACGTAAAGGTCTGGATCAAACTGAGCAACAGTGGATAAGCTTATCATATTTCTATCCTCGATTTATTCTAATCGTTTATCAATGACCCCTTTTACGCAAATGTGAATCACATTTATGAAGATCTGAATATGCTGTCAAAAATCCGGTGAAAACCTTGAGAAACGGCAGGGTCGAGTAGATGTTTGTGGTAAGCTTGCGTCTAATTCCAAGAGAGTACATGAATTCCAAATGGAGTTGAAAGATTTAATTGTAAACGTAGATAATATAAATATCATCTGTCCTGGGCTCTCGATGAATCGCAATTGACTGTGGAATGAATGTGTTCAATCAGGGTAAGTATTTTTCAACAGATATCATAGCGTAATAGATTAGGAAGGTTCTTTACGTGCGTAGTACGAGTGATATTTGTTATCCATTTCCCAGCAACTGGGGTTATCACCGCAGCCTCCAGTCACGATTATGTCCGAGAGTATAGATTACGGTCATTTGTCTAGTGTTTTGATATTGACCAGAAAGGGTTGATATTCAATTCCTGTGATTTCGAAATGGAAACAGTTTATTTTCGTCAAGTCTATACAAGTTTATTTTCGTCAAACGAGTTCATATTTTCTAAGTAATACAAAATTATTTGCAAATTATTTGGACACAGCATTCGGGATACATCTTCTCATGATCAAATTTCATTCCGTTGAATGTTTTGTTAGGTTCACAATCAGATTTGACGAGACCACATCTGAAATAATAGATTATGGTGAACTTATTACTTTCTTCGCATTTGGTGAAATAACTCATATCTGAATAACTTAGGTATATAATTATATTGAGAGAAGTAGGGAGCATTTTAAGGTACTTACGGAATAATTACAGCATAGGATGATCCGTCACATATGATTCGATAACAACCATTTTCGTAAGGGGCTAAATAATCTTTGGCATTGCTGCAATCTCCCTCTGTAACAACAAGCAATTGGAAATGAAGATAGAATTTTTTACTATATTAAGGGCCAACAGAATCGAAACACTTATCAAAATTATAATTCGGGTACGGGGTAAACACGAGAAGACTTGATTCAAGTCGACTTTGACTTGATTCTAGTCGTTTTTCGACTTATTTCAAGTCGGGTGACTCAAACTTCATCAATCCGGATTCCGGACTTGATATGAATAGAAAGGGGGATTATTTTAGGAAGAAACATCTTAGATCAATATTGACTTGATTCAAGTCGAATGAATGAATTAATTTAAGTCAACACTGCACGCTTAGAAAAACAATACGTGAATGAACTCATTTAGAATTATTGCAAATAATTTTATGCAAGAAAATCTCAAATTTGAAAAAATTGAAGAATAATGAAGGGTGTTCATTCAAGGTCATATGCAGCATAATCATTACATAATTCATCATAATTTTATAATAATATTTGGAGATAGACAGGGACCACCTGGGATTGACTGGCCTGGAGAAATACGTCCCGAAAAAGAATTCTTCTCCAAAGAAAATGATTGCTTGGCAAAAGTAATTTTTTTTCTCAGTGCATTTACTTAAGCTTAACAAACTGATGAATTTAAGCCGAACGGATACGAAGTATCGACTTGAATCAAGTCGAAAAATCGACTTCAATTGAGTCGAAGAATCGTCTTGAATCATGTCGAAGAAGCGTATTTAATCGAGTCAAAGAATAGTCTTGCAAAGTCGACTTGAATCAAGTGAAATTCGACCTGAATTAAGTCGATTCTTCAACTTGATTCAAATCGATGTGCCGGGATGCATCTTGCCGAGTGAGATTTGATTCACAAAGTCCATGACACAGCATGAAATAAATAGATTTCCGGTATGATTCAGACCGCCTTGATTCAAACCGATTTTTGGACTTGATTCAGAACGATTTTTTCGAATGTCCAGGATAAATAAAAGAGACAGTATGCGCGGAAGAAAGAGAAATAAGGAGGAGGAGAACGCGGGGAAAGACGAGAATGTGAGATCCGAGATATGTGATAGGGGAATTATTGATAAGTACAATTATAATCAGGGTCTCACCGATTTTAGGCTTTTGCAGTGATAGTTGTACCAGACACAAAACAAAACTGACGATCACTAAGAGCTTCATGATTCGATAGTTGATCTTTCCGTCAACTGCTGTGATATCGACGTGATGTTCACACAGAGGATTTTCGTTAGAGACTGACCAGTAGTATATTGTTGATTCTATTTATATGGCTCCAAACGCTTATCAACGACCTGACCCTCCAAAATATTTCGCTTATCAGCATTTAAATATGTAGATAACTGCTCTAGGAATCATTTAGTGAGTATGACATCTCCCCTCAAATCGTCTGGGAAAGACGATGGGCTTGAAGACGTATCTATTTATTTATTTTCTTGTTATTCATATTTCCTTCCTACTACCATTACGTTTTCATAAGCCCCCCATTTCGCCGGGCTTTATGCCTTTCTCTCACTCTTCTCTTTTTATTTATCTGTGTTATCGTGAGCCGTCTTATTTTTATCAGCTGCACCTCATTCGTGCGAGAACTGTGTGGAAAACCATGGAAAACCATGGAAAACCCCAGTCGTACAGTCGGCCGATATTACAGGGTCCTACTGTGTCTATCCGTTACACTGACTAGATGGCAGGGGGTGACACTACAGCATTTGCCTTTAGATAATTCCGTCCCATTAGAGTCGAATTCGTGGCGCTACTCGTCATTCGCGTGAATTATGCAGAATATTTTGTTATTGAGCTTTGCGATGTACAAAAGTGAATATGACAATTAAATTTCAAGAAATTTTAATCTTGGAAATTTCTATTGTTAATAACCAAGAGTGTTTTCTGCTAAATTTAATTTGATGTTTATTTTATTAACCATTGTATACATTGGACAATGATAATGAGATAATTGATTGATAATTAATAATTAAGTTTATCATTTTTTCCACATGGAGAGAAATATTCAATAAAAATGACGTCTTTTCCGTACTTTCTGAGCGAAATTTGGTTGTAGGAAATTTTACGGGACTGTCACGGAATTTTTCCAGAGCGTTTCGTAATTTTTATCTGAATCTCCTGTGAAAAATTACGGTACCGTCATTTAAATTTTCTGAGTTGATTCCGTAATCGGTGAGCAAATAGTGAGTTCCGTAATTTTTACTGAACATTTCTCTCCGTGCAATGGTTTAACATTACGCATAAATAACTAAATAATTAGTAATGAATATACATGAATTGAATCTGCCTGTCTCTGAATTATTTTATTTTCGATGAAAACGGAAAATTAGACTGGATAAAAATGAAACGAATGACACATTATTGGAAAAAATGAAAGTGGCATAGGAAAATTTAAGATAAATGTACACAAGATAAATATAGTAATTATTTATACATTATACACATTATCTACAAAAAAACGACTGTCGCACAGTTTAACGACATAATTTTTGTGGAATATATATTCATTCCTCTCAATCAATATGTATCATGTCTTATGGTGCATCGATAGTCAAAGAAAATTCATCCTCACTTGAAAAAAAACGACTGTTAGTGATTGCAACGATAATTTTAGTCCGCAATGCGTCAACTATTATTCAAACCGTTCATTTGCATTCACCTCCCCACGAAATACGTCACTCTATTATTTAAAATTTTATCCAAAAAAATATGACGTGTCATTATAACGGTATTGCCTGAAATTCGCAGGGACAATGGTGCGTGTATATCATGACGTCCATAACTGTCCAACTCCCTGCCATTTCAAAATGTAATATACGGGAGTGCAAATTTCCAACCGAAACCACAATTGCCACTGTCTGAGCAGTTATTTTATATCATTATTTTCGTGTTAGTCCGACAATTGTGTGTTCGCACGACGATCTATGTAACTGTTTCCTCTTGACATTTAATAAATCCGTGCGCTCGGCGACTCCATTAATGATATTGGACTTCAATTGGTGTCAATTGAAGTCAATCAATTAACCACACTCTTAAATTTTTAATTATTCAAGTCATCATCAATTCAACCCTCCAGTGGTCGCGCTATGGTCTGAACGCCGCCGTTTTTGCTATTCTCACGATATCTCTAGAAATGTGATGAATCGTAATTCATCACGTTTCTAGAGATATCGTTGAGTATCGTTGAGTATAAAAAACGTATAAACGTATAAAAAACGTATTTGTGAGACTTCTTTAACTATTGAACTCGTTATTCTCGAAGTGTAGACACCTAATTCTCCTCAGAATCCACAAAATTGATTGAAAATAAAAGAGAGAGCCTATTGAGCGGTACTACCCGCCGTCGGGTAATACCGCTCGGCACGATTCCAATGCCGCTCATAGGGTTTTGCGTGTATCGCTCGCGCCGCAACCTAACCTGTACTCGAGTGCTGTCGAGCAACTACGTGGCCGATCCTATGAGCGGTATTACCGGCTCCGCTCGGCGTCAACAAAATTGTTGATAATTATTGACATGAGTGGAGTTTTGAGTTCGAATTAGTCTCAAATGACGTACGAAAGTACCACGAATCGAATAACCACAGTTTAATATGAGGATTCAGCGTTTGAAACTATCAAAAACCTTAATTAAAAGTCCACAAATTTTGCACTGTAAAGACTTCAAAACTTCGTTACGTGTTTTTTCATATTTAAAGTGGTAAATAAAGTGAAAATTTTCCGACAATCACATTCTATCACCAAATTCTTCATGATCAGGAACAGAAAGAAATTTTTAAGTTGATGGTTGTGGAGAAAATCGGGTGAGCGGTACTACCCGCTGAGCGGTACAGGCACACCCTCCCCTAGTTCTTGAAAACTAACAGCCAGTTGTTGATTGATGTTTTCGATAACTGCTTTTTAAAAAGAAACGGAATTTCGGAAATTGCGTGGCCCGCAACGAAAAGTTCCAGACCGTCTGAACATTTCGTGCACCACTGACATCTCTCCTTCCCCGCCATGTCTACGTTACATCGTAAAAATCCCCTCTAAAGAGCAACCGGAAAGCTTTCTGCAGTGAAATCTACAATGCAAATCGAGAGTGGACGGAGAAAAAATATAAAATGAAAAAAGGGCTCCGCTTAGCTCGTAGACTAGGCGACATATGCCGTTAAATTTTTTTTTACCACTGAAATCTCCGAATGAAA